AATTGCTATGAAATAGCTTTCACTGGAAATGTACACTGGCTTATGACCCCCCCAAATGCGCACAAGCTGAACCCCATGCCTGGAAGGCTACGCCTTCTCATCTCTGAGTCTTGTTGAACTCTGTGGCTTCCTTCAAGATTCAGCCGAAATGCCCCACTCTGCAGGAAGCCTTTCCTGCTCTCCCCAGCTGCTAGTGCCTTCTCCTCTGACATCGAGTTCCATCTGCCTTCTCTTATATTCACCTACTTACACGAACGCTAGCACCCTGACTCAACTGCTCCTTGAGGACAGGGACCACCGGGGATGTGTCTTCACATTGCCAGTGTTTGAAGTGCATGAAGAAGGGATGCATCTTTTGTTTGGGGTTTGTGGGACAACAGAGAGAATGTCAGTTGGTCCAAGTCTTATTCAGCTTGAACGAAAGTCATGAAGAAATTGCAGAACAAAAAAATAACCATCCAAGGAGCTGATAATCAAGATAACTGTTAAATATGAGCCAGAGTAGAATCAGGAACCAATTGGTGAAACCAATGAATTGACCAATGGCTCAGTGAAATTAGCACAGTGCCTGCCACGTAGTTTAAGCCCTTGGTAGTTGCCTATTGATTGGTCAGCTACTACCGACGTGAATTTGGGCAAGTCACTCCATCTTCCCTGCCTTGGTTTCCTCATTTGTAAAATGAGGGGATTTGGAGTGGATATCTCCTGGGGTTCTTTCCAACTTTAGCTTTATGTTCCTGTGACCTCATATGTAGAAAAGGTATGGCTAGCTGATTCCTAAGATGCCCTGTTGAATTTATTCTAGTGTGCCTAGAAGGGAAGCAGCTTGCCTGAATATGTCGAGAAAAAACTATGAGACATTTATTTTACCATATTCCCCTTCAAGCATTCGGGTTCCAGACAAACTGTTGTACTTACTGTTCCTTAAACTCTACATCCCATTTCCCACCTCAGCATCTCTGGACAGGCAGACTCCCCTCCCCCCCCCTTATGTCTTTCTCAATTCTGATTCTTAGAAGCCTGAGCTTCCTGCAAGACGTTCACACTCCACCTAATACTGGAAGCGTCTTATGACCCCTCTAATTGTTAATTGGCCTCAAATCACTTGGCACCTACTCCCTTTTTACTTGTTGGATACATCCCTCCCTCCTTGAGGGTAGGGACCACTTGTCATTTGTCTTTGTTCAGGGTCTGGAAGGTGGTACATACTTAATGAAAGCTTGTTCAATTGAATTGAGTACACACAAGTACAGTAAAGTAAGGCTAGAGAACAAAGGAATGAAGAATGAATGAATGAACATTTATTAAGCACTTATTATGTGCCAAGCACTGGGCTAAGAGCTGTAGATACAAATACAAAAGCATAAACAGTCCTGGACCTCAAGAAACTTACATTACAATGGGAGGGGGGAGATCATGCATAAGGAATCCATGGAAAGGGAGGGGTGTTTTGCTCTGGAAAGACACAAGGATGGTAAGTGAGGCCACAGCGGAGTAGACAGCATCAACATTGCATATACTAGACAAACAATAACAATAATTTGGCCAGCTAGGTGGTGCAGTGGATAGAACACTGGGCCTGGAGTCAGGAAGACTCGTCTTCATGAAATCAAATCCAGTCTCAGACACATACTAGCTGTGTGGCCCTGGGAAAGTCACTTAACCCTATTTTCCTCAGTTTCCTCATCTGTAAAATGAGTTGGAGAAGGAAATGGCAAACTTCTCCAGTATCTTTGTCAAAAAAAAAAACCCAAAATGGGGTCATGAAGAGTCAGAAATGACCAAAACAACTAAGAATTCCAAGCAAAAAAACCCAGAATCTGGCAACTTAGAGATACACGTCTGCTAGAAGCAATTTTCACAATCTATATGTCCGGGGTAGGGAGAGAAGGGGGAGAGAGAGGAACTTTTTATTTTTTTTAAATGGGTTGGGCTGGTAATTTTTTGTACTCAGAAACAGCAAGAACTCAAAACAGATCGGCAACAGAAACTAAACATAATGAACATGATATTTTGAATATGCTACCCCTGTATTGTGGCAGGGAGAGTTACGTTACCGTGGGTGGTGGATCATGCGTCAGGAGTCAAGGGTAGCAATAGCATGTATTTAGGGAGCACTGAAGTTCAAGTCAGAAAGCAGAGCTTTCAATCTGTAGGTCTCTGCTTTTCTAGCTACATAACACACCTCATTGTGCAACAGGCCATCTTCACTAAGCCAGGTAAGCTCCACTTACACCTTGAGTACCCATACAACCTATTTCAAGAGACAGGAAGCTTCAGGAAAGCTTATGGTTCAGGCTAACCCAGATATTTTCTGATGGAAAAGGGAAAATGTCACCTTGCTAGTGGAAAGAGTCCTAGTTCTCAATTCAAAGGTCCTTAGTTCAAATCTTATCTGTGACTGTGCCTGTGGGCAGATCATGTGGCCTTCCTGGGCCTCAGTTTCCTCAGATCTCTTATCAAATCTCTTATCCCTTTGCCAAGGCAAAAATGTGGTTCCTATTACACCATGACTCATTTATTCCTTCAACAAACAGCATATATGAATGAAGTGAAACAATTCAACACTAGACTCACTCAAGAAGACTCAAGTTGGAATCTTGTCTTAGATAGTTTACTAATTGTGTGACCCTTAACTTCTCCAGGCCTCAGTTTCCTCACCAGTAAAATTTGGATAATAATAGTTCCACTCCCACAGAGAGGATCCAATAAGATAATGTCTAAAATGCTTTGTAAACTTTTAAAAGTCTATTTACAGGTCTATATCACTCTAATAAGCCTATGTGTATTTAAGCTATGTAAAGTTTATGTAATAACTCTAAACTGCACTAAAACTTTTGGGACATCTTGCTTAAATTTAGCTACTGCATAGAGCCTATGGCAGAAAACCATGCTGTATTTATTTTGAAGTAATGAGTGGTTGACTAGAGAGACCAAAAGGCTGATGCTAATAAATCTTTCAAAAATAAAAAAAAAAATCAGTGGGAAACTCAGTTCAACATACCTTGAGCACCTACTGTGTATATGACATTATATTCAGAGCTAAAAAATGTAAATATGAATATTCAAGCCCTGCCCTCAAGAAGCTTACTATTTTGTGAGGAAGGAAGCAGAAAGAAACATATAAAATAAATATAAAGGTGTTCCTAAGGTTATAATGATATAAAACTATATACATATGTGTGTATAACTATATATGGTTTGTATATAAATATGGCTATACACATAACCATATACGTGTATATATGTATACATATATTGTCATACAGAGATATGGCTATACCTATATATACATATAGATAGATAAATATAGATATAGATCTGCCTCATTTTGACCTCAATTCTAAAGAAAAGTACTCTCTGGTCTAGTTTGGTGAAAAGAAAGTTCTTAATCCTTAGCCAAGGCAGCACGGTAAAATGTATTTGACCACAAGATTTTATGTCAGAAGGCCTGAGTTCAAATTCCAGGTCTTAAATTTACTACTGAGACAGGATTTGAACCCAGGCCTCCATGTCTCCAAGTCCAGCTTTCTATCCACTACAGGCAGGCACGGCTTCATTCTTTTCTTTGCATCCCCAGGACTAGTGCAAAGTAGGCTTATAATGAACGCTCAACAACTCATTCTTTTGGACATTCCCAACACCTAGGACAGTGCCTTGTACACAAGCCTGATATTTTAGTGGGACAAGAGACAGTCCTCAAGTGCAAAGACCCAAGTCTGAATCCTAGGATCACAGGGGATACATAAGACCTATAATAACAATTATTGTCACAAATCACAAGTTTAGACTATGCAGCTCCTTTCATTTTGTAAAGTGCTTACCATACACAATCTCATTTGATCCTTATACCACTCCTGTTAACTACTACAACAAGTGGGAGTCTCATTTTATAGGTGAGGAAACTGAAGTTTCAGGGACTTACCTAGGGCCAGTAGATTATAGGTCAGGTACAGGAATAAAACCGAGGTCTTCCTGACCTGAGTTCCAAGACTTTTTTTAATACACACTGCTGCCTCCCCATAAAATCAAAAGCTGGAAAGATTCTTAAAGACAAGCCCTTTATTTTATTTTATTTTTTTACAGATCAGAAAATGGAGGATGAGAGGGGAGAACTGTTGTCATTTTTGTTGTTCAGTCATTTTCAGTCGTGTCCAAGTTTTCATGACCCCATTTGGAATTCTCTTGGCAAGGATATTGGAGTGGTTTGCCATTTCCTTCTCCAGCTCTTTCTACAGATGAGGAAACTAAGGCAAATAGGGTTAGTAACTTGCCCAGGGTCACAAAGTCTCTTGATCAAAATCAAGGGATTCGAACGCAGGTCCCGTGATTCCCAATCCAAGGCTCTTTCCACATACCAAGAAAAGAGGTAATACAGAGGGGAAGAAATTGCTAGATTTGAAGTCAGAGGACCTGGGTTCAAATCCTATCTCGACTACTTACTGTCTGTGTCACCTTGGGCAACACACTTAGCCCCAGTTTCCTCATCTATAAAATAAGGAGGTTAGAGAACCTCAAAGTTCCTCTGATGCTGTGATCCTATGCCTTTGTCTGACAGGCAGTATGGCACAGGAGACAGAGGCCCAAATTCAGAATCAAAAAGATCTGGGTCTAAGTCTTGCCTCAGATATTTGTCAGCTTTCTGACTCTGGAAAAGCCATCTAGCTTCTCACCTTTGAAATAGGAATAATAATAGAAACCAATTCACGAAGTTGATACAAGAATCAAATGAGCTCACATATATAAAGCAATCTGCAAACCTTAAAATGTTTATTAATGCTTAAAATTAATTTTTAAATTAAGCTGCTTATTGTTTAAAATGTTTATTAAAACACTAGCTATTGTTCATTTCAATGTTGATACTGACAATATCGATACTGCCCATATCGATATTATTTTTAATAATATTATTAATATTATTATCATTGCTAATATGAAGTTCAAATAAGGCAGCGACATTAGGTATCAAAGTCAAGAAAGGAAGCTCAGCGCACCCTCACCTGACAGCTCACATCCATCCCTGCCTCCAGCAGCACCTGGACCACAGCCTTATGGCCGTTGCGCGCGGCGAGGTGCAGGGGCGTGTGCTTGCGGGTGTTACAGCTCATGAGGTTGGGATGGGCGCTGATGATCATCTTCACCACCCGCAGCCGACCATAGAGGGCCGCCAGATCCAGGGGGGTTTCCAACTTGCTATTTCGGATGGTAGGGTCTGTGAGCTCCTCCAAGAGGACAGCGACGACCTCCGAGTGTCCATACTGAGCAGCGCAGTGTAGCGCTGTCTCATTTTCATTATTCTGGTTCAAAACAACAGCAAAGGCAAGTGGTGAGTTGAAAATTTCAATAAGTTATTTGAATTTGACGTTGACTTGGCTAATACGAATTCCCATCAGGTAAAAGACATGGCCTTTTCCCCCCTTTATACCCTACTCAAGTTGTCTACAGCCTGGGGCGGGGGTGAGGGGAGGAGACCTAGTTGCCTACAAGACATCCAAAGACCAAAGATCTTTGGTTCCACAGTTTGAAAAATAATGCATATAGGCAGTGTTTTTCTACAGTTACATGTAATAGCCAAAGGAGTGAGGATTGAGTCCTGGTTCTGCCATTTGACTACCTGTGTGACCTTGGCCAAATCATTTTGTTTCTCTGAACTTGTTTCCTCACTTATAAAAGAAAGAGCGACTGTCCTTGACCTCGTTGCAAGCATATAATTTCTTTTCAGGGATCTGTCTTCCATATTAGCATGTCACCCCCCAACCACCAATGGGGCCTGGGAAGGAAATCCCTAAAGGAAATTTGGTATAGGAGAAAGCACACAGTCAAAGGACTTGATTTCAATTGCTTGAGTATGTCACTGAGTCCTTCTGGGCCTCAGTTTCCTTACTTACAAAATGAGGGAACTGGCTAACCTATATCAACTTGGGCAAGTCATTTGACCCCTTTAGGTCTCAGTTTACTCCCCTATAAAATAAGGGAATTGGACTAGATGGACTCTGAGATCCTTTCTAACTTTAAATCTAAAGTCCTCCACAGTACCCAATTAGCCTGGGTTGGACTTGCCCCCAGAGGGACAACCAAGTGTGGAAGGTTTCCCTTTCACCTAACTGGGAGAGAGTTGTGCATTTGTGCTCCCCTTCCCATCATGGCAACCTGCTGCCCTAGTAGAATAAAAGCTTCTGGAAGGCAGTGGGCCGTTTCACTCCTGGCTTTGTGTCTAGCACAGGGCCCTGAAGGTAGGACATACTTAATACTTATTGAGCTGAACAGGATTTAAATACAATTAAACACATTTTAAATAGATAGGCTAATTTCAGGGTTACCTTTTGAATTAAGATTTTTCCTCATATCCTCAATTTGATAAAATTATCCTGTGAATTCAATAAGAATTTACTAAAAGTTTACTATGTTCAAAGCTTTCTGCAGGGCACTGGGATACAAAGATAGACACAAAACCACCTCTTCCCTCAAGGAACCCACATTCTCCTCTTGTCATCAATTATTAGATTCACTTTCCAAAATTCATATTTCATTAGAAGTCTCTGATAATAATACTAATAACACTTATTTTCCCTCAAATTACATATGGCATCTAGCTTTCTAGAGGAGCAAATGATTTGGTGACTTTTATCAGGACACCCAGTGGCTATCATAAGGGTCCAATTCTATGGTCTCTGCTATATACACCTTCATCTCTTGTGATCTGTGAATGAAAGAAGTGGATAATATCTTGAAATATAAATCTCTACAACTACAAATATCATCAGACCTGCTTTTTATGATCTATAGCACTTAAATAGAACATGTTTAAAAGACAGACCACTGTATTCACTTTTACATCATTTTTCTTTTACATACATATGTGTGTGTGTGTGTGTGTGTGTGTGTGTATATATATATATGTATGTGTGTGTGTGTGTGTGTGGATATAGACATAGATATGGATATAGATATAAATATATCTTTTCCCTTACTGCTGAGGAATTCCCAAAATAAGATTCTGGAGTGAGGTGATCATCCTTGTCTCCATCTCACTATGCTCTTCTTTCTCCCCACAACAAGAGGTCTGTATCTTTATTCAATTCAACCAACATTTATTAATCACCTCCTATATGCCATGCATTGTGTTAAGTGCCAGGAAGACAAAGACAAAAATAAAACAGCCCCTGCCCTCAAGGATCTTATATATAAGTGTGAAAATGTGAAAGAGGAAGAAATCTTAATTTCTTTTTTAATTTTAGGGGAAGACTTAGGATCATAGATTTGGAACTGGGAGTTCCCTTAGATATCATTTAGTCCACCTCCATTTTCCAGATGAAGAAACTGAGGCTACAGAGGACTTGCGCAAGATCACTCTAATAGAAGAGCCAAGAGTTGAACCATATCAGTTTACTCTACTCATATCACTATATCACCCTTCCCCAGGGTCTTCCTTCTAGGTTCCAAGACTGTCTTTCACATGCTAATATGTAATAGTACCCCTGAAAAAGAAAAATATGGTAAAGAGAATTAGATTCTTGGTACAAGGCAAAATAGACTAACCTCCTACTTGAATGACCTTGAAGAAACCACTTCAAATGTCTGGGACCCAGTCTCCTCATTTGTAAAATGAGCCCTACCTCTTTGACTTACCTTCCCAACAGAAGGCAAGTGACTTCATCTTCCTGGGCCTCAGTTTTCTCATCTATATAAGAAGGGTGGGCTAGAGGGCCTTTCCAGCTCTGAAGCCCTTTCCAAATCAAGCTCTATAATCCTATGAAGAACCAGCTAGACTGAACAACCAAGGGTGGCAGGTTTCCATATCAGATGTTTGCCTGTCTACCATGCCCACGCATGGCAACTAGATCCCCACTAACATCCCTTCCTTCTTCAAGTCTCATGATCTTATAAGTAAGAACAGTTATTGGCTATGAGTATATCATTCATCCGAAATCAAGAAACCTGCTTCTGATAGTTCTTATATGTGTGACCGCAGGAAAAGTCACTTAACTTTTCTGGGCCTCAATTTCTACATTCTATAAAATGAGATAGTTGGGTCAGTGGAACCTCTGAGATCCCTTTCAGCTTTAGATAAATGAACCTCACTTAGCATATTACAATTTACTGCTTATACTAACTGCCATTGGGAAGCATGGCATAGTGAACTGGGTATTACATCTAAAGTCAAGAAGACCTGGGTTCTAATTCTGCTTCATTTGCTTACTAGCTGTGTAACCCTTGGCAACTTTCCCTCTCTGGGCCTCAGTTTCTTCATCTGTAAAATAAAGTGATTTGTCTATATGATCTTTTTAATTTTTTTCTTTTAAGATTAATTCTTTTATTTTACCTGCATTTACAATCTGTCCCTTCCATTGTCCTTTCTCATTGAACAAAAGAAAAAAGACCCTCATCATAAAGATGCACAGTCCAAAAACAGACATTCCTCCATTATCCACCAAAAATATATGTCTCTTTCTGCTCTATAAGTCCACTGCCTTTCTGGAGAAAGTGAATGCCATATTTGATCTTCAGTCTTCTGAACCTGTGATTTATCATTACACTGATCAGAGTCCTAAGGTCTTTCCAAGTCATTGTTCTCTATGATGTTGTTATTGGCCATGTGATCTCTTAACATTCCCTTCCCATTCCAAATTTCTGATTCTAAATCTGTCACTAAAACATTTGAACTACTTAAAATTCCTCCTGTATGTACATTTTAATATCTAAATATCCAAGCCCCTTGTGGGAGGAAGGAGTGCAGAAGGGTGAAAGGATAATCAGAGCTCAATGGAGAATCATTAAAGCTTTGTGTAGAAATTGGGGGGAAAAAGCAATTTGGGGTTTGGTGTCAGTAAAACCTTTCTAATAATCACAGCTTTCCCAAACTAGAATGGACTTCCTGGGGTGGTAGAAGTTTCCTCATCAATCAAGAAATGACTAGATGGCCTATTAGGGAATATGTTGGCGAGGTATGGGCTGGACCAGATGGTCTCTTCTTCCTCAAATTCCATGATTCTGTGACACTTTGACAGACCCATGATTTAGGAAGGTCCTCCCCTCACATACCACCCCATCATTGCTGAACCTTGAATTCACTCTTGTGAATACTCAAAAGTACCTACAACGATTTTTGCCACACTACTTTCCATTATCCATGCCAATTTCAACAAGAGTGGTGAAAGTCATTTGAGGTCCACACAAGGATTTCTACACCATTCTCCAACTTTATTATTATTGTCACTTAAGTTTCACCTTTTTTTGTGTGTTATTGACCCCAGGTGTAGACACACTGTTACCTTCACAACATCTAGTTTAGGGGCTCCTTTCTTTCCTCTGACATTGCCAGCACCCTAATTCAGAGCCCCATTGCCTCATGCCTGTAAAAGCCTTCTGATTGGTGTCCTTGCCTCAAGTCTCTCCCCACTCCAATTCATCCTCTACTCAACTGTCAAAGGGATCTTTCTAAAGCACAGGTCTGGCCATGTTAACCCATCCTCCATTCAATAAACTCCAGTGGCTCCTTATTATGTAAACTCCTCAGTCTGCATTTTGAAGTCCTCTACAACCTTCTTTCCTTTCCTGTCTCATTATACATCACTCTAAGATCCAGTAATACTAGTCTTGTTACTGTTCTTCTTATACAACATTCCGTCTCTCAACTCCACACATTTTGGATTCTCTCCCTCCTCATCTCTAGCTCCTGGCTTCCAGGGATCCTTCAAGTTCCAGCTAAAATCCCACCTTTTACAAGAAGCCTTTCCTGATTCCCCTTATGCTAGTGCATTCCCTCTGAGTTGACTCACTAATTCTTATATATTTTGTTTGTGCATAGTTGGTCAATGTCTCCCTATTTAGACTATAACCTCCTTGAGAGTAGGGACTTTTTTTTTACCTTAGCACAGAGCCTAGCATATAGTAGATGTTTAATAAATGCTTGCCATCTTGACTTCAACTTTCCAAAACACACCTGAAGGTCAACGCATATTGTCCAAATAATGACCTGCACCTGAATGGGCAGCCTGGTGACTTCACCTATCAAAAGGTATATCTGACTGAATAGTCATGGATAGACAGTGAAGATAGGAAGATACCAGGCTGGATTCCATTTTGGGAAACCATCCAACATTTTCTATGTGACCAGACTGCTTAGCACTGCAGCCACCCACGGTCTACCGGGGTTCTCCCAATGTGCAGTGGAAAGAACCCCAGGTTTAGAGTCAGATCTACCACTGTGTTCATACAGTTATACCTCAAACATTAAAAGAATCAGAGATCCTTAATTAAGTAGGCCCTCCATGGAGGACTTATGGAAAATTTGAAC